GATGATTAAGACATGGCAATGCTCACTGCCCATTATGGGAGACAGGCTCAAACAATATTTCTGCATTGTTCTCTAGGAGCTGTAACAGAGCTACTGAAGCCTGAAGACTAGGAGAGGCCTCAAAATTTTACAGACCCTGAACAACACAAGTTTGAACTGTGTAAATGCACTTATGTGTAGATTGTTTTTCCAATACCTGTACTGTATTTGATCCACAGTTGCAAGTCCAAAGATGTGGAGGGTCAACTGTATGCATTGTTCTCTGCCATTTTATATAAGGGACTTGAGCATCCATGGATTTTGGTATCCATGGGGGTCCTGGAGCCAGTCTCCCTCAGATAGTGAAGGTAGTTAAGTTTTTGGGAAGTCAAAAGTTATATATGGATTTTCTAATGTGTAGTAGGTAGGCACCCCCAGCCCTCCATGTTGTTCAAGAGTCAACTGTGTATTAAAGAAAGGTATGTGGATTCTTTTTAGGGTAGCTTATATATTTTTATGTATTTAACCCAAGAAGAAAGAAAAATGTAGGTTCTCTTTTAGCCATTGTGATAGTGAGATGGCATTTCTGCTGAGATGAACACCTGAATGTGGCACTGACCACACCTCTCTGTACTATAGACACATTATAGTAGTGGGCAAGAGGTAAACATGATAAGAAATCTAAAATTTGAAACATGGTATAACAATAACATGTCAGATGGCTATTTTAATTCTTTGTCTTCAAAGTTGGTTCAACATGAGGTAATCCTACCAGTTTTTCTTAATAAATGATATGTTGCAGCCATTTGCCAGTCTTCATCATTAAAGCTAACTTGCTGTTTTAGTCTGTTTTAACAGGTTCTACTCTCAAAACACCTGGCTACCTTGTAAACTCCCTAGTTTCTTAAAATATAATGCATGACAGCCCTGTCTTCAGTACTTTACCTGTTATCTCACTGAATCCTCACAACTCTATAAGGTAGGGACCGATTTCCCCATTCCAGATCTGAGACAGCTGAGACACAGTGAGGTTTACTCACAGTCCAGGTTCACACTGATAAGAAGTGCAGAGCTGGGATCAGAACCCAGGGAGTGATTCCAGAGCCTACACCCTTCTTTCCCTGCCTGTCAAGCTAGGTTGGCAGTGATTGCAGAATGCTTCATTGCCTGCAGAAATTTAGATGTGATGGTCCTTAGTCTGATTGAAATAGGTCAGCACCTTTGTAAATTTTGAATTATGAGTTTCCCTGCTTCAGAACACAGTGAAGAAAACGTAAACATCACTGCATATTTCCTTTAGGTGCTAAAATATGTGTATTCTGTCACTGTTCCATTCGTGGCTTTGTCATTTACTACTACGTGAGTTTGGACAAGTTTTTTAATGTGGGTTTTGGGTATTTCCACTGTAAGAGGAAGGGATTAAACTAAACAATTCTCTATATTTCCTGCTCACTCAGTAAATTTTCGATTCTGTACTCTACCAGAATTAAAGGTTGATAGCAACTTTTTTGTCAGTCATCTAGAACCTATTGCTCCAAATGAAAAGAGAAAGTATGGATAGTAAGTGTTCTTTTCTTTTGTTGGGTTCTTTGTTATTTCAAATATTCAAAAAGTTTATTTCAAATTTTCAAAAAGCTAGTACCAAGGTACTAGCTTTTGCCATCCTGAAGTATATATGTTGTGTGCTCAGTTTTAAGGGCTGGGAATATTCCCTGAAGGTCTGTGCTTGTTCAAAAACAAAAATGGAACACTCAAGTCTAAGCACTAAAAATATCTCATAAAATGCTTCCTCCATGCACTCATTGGAACAGGTAATTACTGTGGCAACAACAAACTAATTTAAAGTGTTAGCTGTTAATTAAAAGAATGCAGAGGTGTATAGTTGTCTTCTGGTTGTAACCAGAGCCTCCATTCAAACTTCATTAATCACCTTACAGTTAATGTGTTGAGGAAGGTCAAGACAATTGGGATGCAGTATCCGTTGAAAGTAAACAAATTCCTTTTCTCCAGGTGGAATGCCATTTGCAAAGTTAAGGTGCATACTCCACTTATACCTGGCAATGCCTTTGTCATCCACTTCTCCTTGATGATTAAATGTTAAGTTGGTACTGTCATTGCACTGTAAACCAAACCACACAGCCCCTTTATTTCTCGAAATCGAACCCAAACTTCCATGGATGAATTAGCGTGCAACATAATTAAATCATCAAGCTTCTCCTTTTATTTCACTTGGAAATAGGAGACCTTTCTTTTAGAAAAGTGATCATCTTTCTTGACAAGCTCATTAAGTTGCCAAACTATTCAGTATGGTATATATTAGACTATCTGCTAACCACTTACTTATCGCTGCTGTTGGTCTCAAGAGCCCTGGTGTTGCTTGTTGTCCTAAGTAGCAACACTGTTCTTTTTATGACTTTTGAATCCTTGTGTATGCATTCAACTATTAGTCTTCACATTTGAGTCTTTGCTTAGTGATTCTAATATAGAGTATTTTTTACTCTGTGGTATGTAAGAGGAAAAATAATATATCATTATTACATTTTACATATTATATTACCTACTAGAGGCCCAGTGCACAAAATTCTTGCACTCTTGGCAGGGGGTGGAATGTCCCTCAGTCTGGCCTGGCCCTCTCAAAGTCCGGGAGCCTTTGGGGGATGTCCCCCTATGGGAGCGCACTGACCACCAGGGGGCAGCTCCTCTGTTGAGTGTCTGCCCACTGGTTGTCAGTGCGCGTTAGGTCGGTCTGCTGTTTGGTAAATTTGCATATTAGCCTTTTATTATATAGGATATTTACATGGAATAAATTCCTTCAAATCACATTTTAAATTAGCTTAGTCCAGCAACATCTCTGTCAGGCACTGAGGAAAATACAGTGTATGTCTTCATACATCAATTTATTACTTGAATTCAGATATATAATGAATCAAATCATAGTCTGAAATGTAGTTTCATGTTGTAAAAATCTGATATTAACATCAATAGTAAAGTAAGTGGTTATTTGCTCTAAACCTTTATGGTATAGGAGTTCTTATAAAACATCACTTTATATAAAGTGTAAAAAATTTTAAATCATTCAAGTATTATAAACTTGATAGTATTTATATACACTAGGGAGGTTGATATTGAGACAAAGTCTGTAGATACTTTTTTAGATTAAAGTGAACAATGCCAATTTTTGTAATCTTGCTTTTCATTTAAATAAGATACAATTTCTCTATAATTAATTAATAAAATAAAACCTAAGTTTACCTTCCAAAATTGGCTCAACCTTTGTCCATTCAAGTAGGAAAAGCAGAATGAATTTCTTATAACATTCATAAATGGATATGTAGATATAATTACATGTTTTGTCCTATCTTACCTGAATTTATAACATTTTAAATATGAAAAGTTATAAATATTTGTGGGTTCTTAGTAAATTATCTCTATAAGTCTGTCATTTTAAAAATACTTGTCAGTGATTGCACAGCTATGTAAATTTTCTAAAAATCATTGAATTGTACACTTCAAACAAGTGAATTTTGTTATATATAATTATGCCTCAATAAAACTGCATAAAATTTTGTCAGAACAACCACACAAGTATTTCTGCCAAAACAACAGAAAATGATATTTTCATTTGATAATAGTGGAATGCATATTTTGTTTTTGTTTTAAGAAACAAGCAATTTTTTGCAACCATTTATGGTAATGGATGTTAACTAGACTTATCAGGGTGATTCTTTTACAATATTCATAAGCAAATATCACATCATTATGTTATATACCTGAAATTAATATAATGTTACATGCCAGTGATACCTCAAAAAATGAGCATTTTTTACTATTAGGTTATTATCAAGTAGCAATTGGGAGCCTGGTAAATTTTGCAACTTGGCAGCTGAGGACAGGGAATTCTGGCAAGGGAAATTACATTCCTCCACAAGTTTTTACCCCACTCACATCTTAGCACTAGCCAGGTGAGAGGAAGAACAATACAATCTTGGCTAAAGTGCAAAATCTTCTATGGAGCAAGACTTTAATTCTTCAAAAATAATGTGTTTCTTTATACTTTTATGGACTTGCAGTAACAGTGTTTGTTCATGTTGTGTGGTTCATCCTGAAATTTTTATAGAAGGCAGGCTGTTTCTGGATAATGGTCAGAATGTACACATATGAAAGCCACATTTTATTTAAACATAAAAAAGGTCTTGATGAGATCATGGTTTATATTTCTGCAAACCTTATTCTCTTTTTCATAAATGAATGTATGCATATTCCTTGACTTAAATTGTAGTTATTTCACTGTATCATTTGAGTTTGTCTCTCTTCTGAAGCTTTTTCAGTATTGAGAGATACCAGCTTTAGGAAAAGACGAACACCACATACTTGAGTCTTGTAACCCTGTGACTTTTTATATGAATTTATATCTATCTTAAGCCATAGCTAATTCCCTGTAGTTTTGAGATTATTTTGATTAAATGTGGGAATATAGTTGATTTGTATATGTAATTGAAATAAACAGAAGGAAAACCTCCCATATTTTATGGCTCTGTATAATGCTTAGCAGAGCTGTAGGATCCCCGCACGCCCCCCCCCCCCCCCCACTATGCCATAAAGCAAGCATGTCAAACTCGCGTATGCCTCGTTTATTTGGCCCGTGTTAGCCTTTGATTTTGACATGCTTGCCATAAAGGATCTAGGGCCAAAAGACCTGGATTTGAGGTCTTGTTCTGCCACTTACTGACTTTGTGCCATTAGACAAACTATTTCTCTGTGCTTCAAAGTTCTTATCTTTAAGGAGATAATAATGACAGTGTTACCTCAGAGGGTTTTTTTTTAAGGGAAGGTATAATTTATCGTTTTGTAAACCATTAAGCTCAATAGAAATGTAAATTACTAATGTCATTAGTATTCTTTGAAAGTATCATATATCCTATGGCTGCAGGTGTGTCCAGATTTACATTTATGTCCGTAACTATTTTCTAGGTTCTTTGGTGAACCCAAGTAATTTTGTTGGTTTGTTTTTCTTCCCGTAGAGCATATCATGTCCCAAGTGGGAAAATACTAGCTGTAAAGGTAAGTACTGGATACATTTCATGAAATTCATGACCTTCTTGATGCTCACCATTTTTCTCCCCTCCAACCCCCCATGTTCAGCTTGAGTTACAGGTAGTGATAAAAAGGAAATGGTTTTAGGTTTGGATTCGGAGGTAGAAGCTGGAGCACTGTTGTGGCATTCAAGCTCCTAACGGTTGTGCTGCTTTTAAGTTGAACTCATTGCCTTATCTGAACCCAGGTACTTTCACTTCAACACTTTGATACATGTATTTCTCGCTAATAAGAATTCCTTCGCCTGTGTCTCCACCTATCAAAATCCTTAACACCCTTCAGCTCCAAAGCCACTCTGTTGGACTTACGTAGGTAAATAGTCACTTCTGGTATATCTATCACTTCTCACTCTGTTCTTTGACTCTCGAATTCTCTGTGTTTCTTAAGGGTGCTATCACATGCTGCCTTGTTGTTTGCTATTAGTATACATGTATGTTTCCCCTATCACATTGAGCTCTCCTTGTAAGTAGAGAACAGATCTTACCTTGTTTTACTCACTGATTCATGCGGAGCATTGCACAGAGGGCCTAGTGCAGAGTGCTGTATGTAATGACTAGATGTTCAACACATAATTTGTTGAATGACTGACTAAATAAATACATTTTGTTCTTTTGTTTTGGGGTGTGTGTGTTTGTTTTTTGTTTGTTTGTTTGTTTTCCAGTTTACTCATTCATCGTTTGAAGTAACATCTTGAAAGCAGGTTCAACTCGCATATAAAATATCCCATAGTGTTCTTTGTATGGACCATTGCTCTCAGCCAGAGCATTTCTTAGCTTTATATATATATATATATATTAAAGGGTGAAATGAAAGGTTGGCGCATTTGATCTTTTCCTGACCCTCTCCTGACTTTTGTGTGACTTCAAGCATGTCACTTGAACCTCTCAGTGACCTCAGCTGTGAAACGGGCTGCCTGGTGTCACAGAGGGATTGTGAAGAGCAGCAAATCACAGGCCTTGTCTAAAGAGAATCACCTGCAGGGCTCTGATGCCGGCGTAGAATGATGAGGGAAATTTAATTTCCCAAGCCAAGTAGTCAGTTGGACCCACACTTTGAATATCTGTGGGAGCAATTAGATAAAAATCTTGAAAATCTATTACTGTTCCTACTCAAAATATTTTTAATTTTTATACTTCTAAATGTTTTCATTTTTTAGACAAAATAAAACAACTATATTATAGTATTTCCCTTTTCAGACATTAAAGGTGGGAAACTATCACTTTAGATATTTTTAAAAGCAAGTTGAATTTTGGGAAGACTAGAAGTACCTTGAATTTTTATTTTATAGTGCTGAATTTAGAAAAATTTCGGCCTCAAAGAGAGCATTTTGAAAATGATACCAATCACTTTTTAAAGATAAGTATTTGATATGACTGTAGTATGTAACTCATGAAATGTGTTTCTAGTTAGCTTTTGGGGGCAGGGAGTGGTGTAGGTAAGCAAAACAACTGCAAACAAGTAGAGCAGAAAACAAATAAAAATAGTGTTAGCCATCTTGCAAATAGAACCTTTTTATAAAACGTTTCAGTGTATTCTATAAAACCTTTCAAAGAGTGGAGCTTAATAGATTTCCCAGTATTACTTATTTTCTAATTGGAAAAAAAATCCATTTAACAGGAAATTTCTTAGCATTGTATGTAGCGTGTGCTGATTATCATTCTTTGACTGTTTTTGGTTTCTGCTGCTTTTAAACTAGCATTTAAATGGATCATTTGATTAATCATTTGTATACTGACTGTAATCCTCCCAAATTTCCTTTCTGAATTGTACATACTGTAAAAGACAATTATGTTGCCACAGATTAAATAAGCGAATTAAAACAGAATAGCGGCTTAATTTGACCTGTGATTTTGCTCTCCTTCCCTTTAGTGGAGCATGTGCCACTCCAGCAAATAAATGAAGTCATCCATGACAGGTTGTGATGAATTGCCGTATTTATACTGTATATTTTAATAGCCTCACACTAATTTAAATTGAGCACAGAGTAAATTATAATTCAGTCACTTGACTGCTTATATTTAACTTGACAACTCATCCTTATTTGTCCTGGAGGTGTAGCGAAGAGCAGGGAAATGCACTCAGGTATTTCAGTTTCTCACTTAACCCTTTCTCCATGAAATGCTTCATGTTTCTCCAGTTTGCAAAATTTAGCTCTTCCTATGGAGAAAAATAGTAATAACAACAACAACAATAATAATAATAATAATAATAATAATAATAAAAACTCAGGGAGTCCATACTTTGTGTATACTTCAAACAGAAAATTAGTATTTCCATGCCTTTTCCCATTACCTTCAAATAAGGAATTGGACTTGTTTATTTTTCACAGTTTTAAAGC